GTCACCCCGTGTCCGGTGTGACCCTCGCTCTGCCCGCAGGACCCGCTGTTCGTGCTGGAGCACAGCCTGCCCATCGACACGCAGTACTACCTGGAGCAGCAGCTCGCCAAGCCGCTCCTGCGCATCTTCGAGCCCATCCTGGGCGAGGGCCGCGCCGAGGCCGTGCTGCTGCGTGAGGGCCGCCCCGGGGCGGGGGCGGGGGGCCTGGGGCGGGGGCACCGGCCCACACCTGTCCTCGCCCTCACCCGCAGGGGGCGACCACACCCGGTGCAAGACCGTGCTCACCGGCAAGGTGGGCGGCCTGCTGGCCTTCGCCAAGCGCCAGAGCTGCTGCATCGGCTGCCGCACGGTCCTCAGCCACCAAGGTGAGGGGCCCGGCCTGCCCCCGCCCCCGCCCCCTGCCCTCTCCCCCCTGCCCGCTCCCCCCAACCTCCATGGCGCCTGAGGCCCCAGGTCCCCGGCCCCCGCCCTGCCCCCCGCCCACCGCCCCCCGCCCCCTGCCCTCCCCCACCGCCATGGCGCCCCAGGTCCCCGGCCCCCACCCTGCCCCCCGCCCCCTGCCCTCCCCCACCGCCATGGCGCCCCAGGTCCCCGGCCCCCGCCCTGCCCCCCGCCCCCTGCCCCCTGCCCCCTGCCCTCCCCCCCACCGCCATGGCGCCCGAGGTCCCCGGCCCCCGCCCTGCCCCCCGCCCCCTGCCCCCTGCCCCCTGCCCTTCCCCCCACCGCCATGGCGCCCCGGGTCCCCGGCCCCGCCCACAAGCTAGCGCTGCTGCCCAGGGTCCTCAGGGAGAGGGTCTCCGTAGTCACCCCGAGAGGGTCCCGGCCCCCCGCCGGGAGTTCCCGGGGAGTTTTCCGCACACTCCATCCCTTGTTCTCCGGCTGCGGGACTTTCACAGCGGGATGGGCAGCGGGCGGGGAAGGGGCAGGGGTGGGGTGGCCTGGGCCCTGGCTGGGCCCCAGCTCCCCCGTGCCCCCCCAGGAGCCGTGTGCAAGTACTGCAAGCCGCGGGAGTCGGAGCTGTACCAGAAGGAGGTGAGGCTCGGGCAGGGCGGGGCGGGGCGGGCCGGGCCGGGTGAGGGGCGGCCGGGCTGCCGCTGAGCCCCGTCCGCCTGTCCGTCCGCCCGCCCGCCCGCAGGTGTGCCACCTGAACGCCCTGGAGGAGCGCTTCTCGCGCCTGTGGACGCAGTGCCAGCGCTGCCAGGGCAGCCTGCACGAGGACGTCATCTGCACCAGGTGCCCCCCCAGGGTCCCAGCAGCCCCGCCCGCCCGCACCCCTCTGGCGCAGAGCCGCCAGCCTCAGCGTCACGGCCGCGCTCACCCAGCCCTCCCGGGGGGCAGGGCGGGCGCCCAGGATCTGCCCCCGGGGGAGATGGCCGCCCGACCCCCTCCCCGGGGTGGGGCCGGGCTTTCCCCAGGGAACGGGCGGGCGGGGCGGGTTCCCACGCCAGGTGACAGGTGATATACGGGGCGGCCCACGCCTCCTCGGGCGCCCGCTGTTATCGCTCCCCCCATGCCCGCTGAGCAAACAGCCGCACGGGAGGGGGCGCTGGGCAGCGGCCGGGGCCAAAGTCCTGGGAACGGTCCGCTGCGGCCGGGGCTGGGCACGGAGGCGCAGCGGCCCCGCGGGCCCTGACCCGCGCCCGCGCCCGCAGCCGGGACTGCCCCATCTTCTACATGCGCAAGAAGGTGCGGAAAGACCTGGAGGACCAGGAGCGGCTGCTGCGGCGCTTCGGGCCCCCCGGCCCCGAGGCCTGGTGACCTCTGACCTCCGGCCTCTCCTCCCGTCTCCCCCTGGACGCCACGGGCCTCCCAGGAGGGCCTGGCGGTGGGACCTGCGGGGACTAATAAAGTTTGGACCTTTTGTTACCTGGTGCTTTGTGATTGGTGTCCGGGGGGCGGGGAACGGGGACAAAGAACACGGTCAGGCCTTGACCCCCAGGACCCCCCCTCTGTGCAGGACACCTGGGTCCCGCCCCGCGGCCAGCCCTCACGGCCCTCCCCCTGTCCCCCTGGGTCCCCGCGCCCTGTGTCTCCGGCTGCTGTCTCCCCTGGACTCTGCGTGGGCATCTGGGCACCCACTCCCCTGCCGCAGCTGGCCCTCCAGGTGCTGCCCGTTTCCTCCCGGCCTGGGGCAGCCCCGGCCCGCAGGCCCCACTCCCCGCCACCCAGGGGACCCCCCTCCGCGGCACACACCCACGATGTTTCCACCTGAGGGTCCTCATCCGCTCTGGGCCCGGGTTTTCCTCGGGGACACGCCCCCCTGTGTGTGACCCCCACTTTACTGGCCAAGGACCCCCCTTTGGGGCCCCCCAGATCCAGCTCCTCTCATTTCCACCCCTCGGGGCTACCCCCGCTTCCAGCCGTGGGGATCCCCAAATCCAGCGGCTCCCGGCCCGCCCTCCCCACCACGTGACCAGGAGGTTGTGCAATCCGGCCCCCTCCCCTGGCCCCCTCCCTGAGGGGATTTTCGAGGAGGGCCGAGCTCCGCACCCCTGCCCCCAGGGGCTGGGCCAAGGTATAAATAGGGGCGGCGGCTGCACCCGCTGGCAGGAACCAGCCCAGCCCCGCCATGCTCGCCCTGGAGGCTGCACAGTGAGTGGGGCCCCTAAACCTGCACATGGGACCCGGCCCCCCATCCCTGCCCTCTGCCAGGCCTCCCCAGCGGCGCTCCCGGCCCGGCTGTCAGCCCCACGGGGGTGTCCACGCTCGCTCCTGCCCCTCTCTCCCCTCCCACCTCTGATTCTCCCCTCCATCCTCCTCCTGTCTCCCCTGGACCCCACCGACCCTCCTGGGAGACCTGCCTCCAGCCCCCGCCACCCACCCACTCCCCTGCCGACAGCTCCAGGGCCCTGCACCCTGTCCCCCTGGCCCCCCGGTCCCTCTGGGTCCCCCGCTCCCTGTGTCTCTCCGTGGTCTGGCTCTGCCTCTTGCTCCCTCTGTCTCAGCCTCCTTCCAATTCTCTGTCCCCCTGTCTTCTCCTGTCCTCCTCCCCCCACACCCCATCCCTCTGTCTCCGGGCTCAGTAAACACTTCGGCATCTGAGCAGCGTCTCCATACCTCTCCCCCTTCCCTCGCTGGCTCTCCCCGTCTCTTCCCCGCGTCTCCCCATCGCTCTCCGGGTCCAAGGTGGACCCATTACACAGACCGGCTGAGGGAGGCCCTCCCTGCCCCCACTCGCCGCGGGCACCCGCATCTCCCCGGGGACTTTCTCTCCCTCACTTTCCCTCCCCCCCCCCCAGCCCCTGCCTATGCAAATCCCAGGGGACGGGGGACATTTGCCTGGCTCCCACCCCCCACTTCCTGTCCCAGGGAGCGAGGGGGGAGCGGGGGCTGGTCTCCCGCAGGAGCCCAGAGCAGAGCAGACGGCGGTCACAGCTGCAGCCATCTCCCCACGGCCCCCCAACCACCCTGACACTCAGGTGGCTGCTGACAGACACCCTGACATGCCCCTGTGTCTCTCCCCCTCCAGGCTGGACGGGCCACACTTCAGCTGTCTGGTGAGTTGAGGTCCTGGGGGCCAGGGCAGGGGCAGGGGGGGGCCCCACATGGCCTACTATGAGCTCCCTGCCTCAGTTTCCCTCTCTGCCCCTTCCTGTCACTCTGTTTTCTGCCCTCTCTCAGCGTCTCCCACCACCGCCCTCCAGCCACTCAGGACCAGGACGGGTGTCTCTCCATGTCTCTCCTCTCTGGCTGCCTTGGCGTGGGCAGGGGTGTGGGGGGCGGGGGCTGGGGGTGGGGGTGGGGGCAGTCTTTTTATCTTTGTCTTTCCATCTCGTTCTCTGTCCAGCGCACAGTCAGCAAACCCATTCCTTCCTCTTCCCTTCTCTTCCTCGCTTCATAGTTTCCAAACTGTAAGTCTGTAACAGGCCAGACACACGAGACTCGACCTACAACCCACAGTCTCGTCCGAGAAAGAAAAGCCTTACTCATAGCCCTAAAAGACAGCCCCTCCCTCCCCCGCACGACGAGTTATGCTTTTTAAAAAGAAAAAAGAAAAAATGAGGCATAACGTGTGTCAGTCAAATGACACATCTTGTGGACGGCGCGGTGAGGGCCGACCCAGGCACACACCTGCGCAACCACTAACCAGCGAGACCCGTGCTCCGTCAGCCGGGAATGCCCCCTGCCCTCCCGTCCATCCCCCCGACCCGACTTTCCCACCACGAATCCCTTCTGCCTGGCGTTGGACTTTCCGCGGAGGGAATCACAGAGGGTCCCCTTTGGGGTCTGGCTTCCTCTGCTCAGCCTGGAGTGCGTGCCGGGCTCTGCTGGCCCTTTTTCCTGGCTGCGTAGTACTCCGCCTCTGGCCGCCCCAGGGCCTGTGTCCCCCGCCCCATGGCCAGGGGCTGCGTCCCCGCTGGCGCTGCTCACAGGCGGCTCTGGGTGTGTTCTTGGGCAAGGCTGCTTTGTGGCCGGGCGTTTTCCTGGGTAAATCTGGGCGTGAGGCTGCTGGCTGGGGGCTGGGATAGCTCCCGCGTTGGCCTTGACTGGCTAAAGCGAGATGACGCTTGAGATGGACGGACGGGGTGACTCGGAGGTGGATCCAGGCAGCGCGGAGACTGAAGGAGCCCTCCGCCCTCGCACCCTTAACCCCGCCGCCCGGGCAGGGAGGCGGGGGGAGCCCATGGCCATGACGGAGCCCCGGGAGGCCCTGTCTCAGCAGGAGCGGCTGCTCCCTCTCCCTCCCTCCCTCCCTCCCTCCCTCCCTCCCTCTCTCTCTCTCTGTCTCTCCGGGTCTTCGCGGGTGTCTGCCGTGTTGTCTGTGTCCTCTCTCCGTCTCTCTGTGCGTCTCTGTCTGTCTGTCTGTCTCTTTCTGTCTCTGTGCGCTTCTCTCTTTGAGTCCCCCTGTCTGTGGGATTGGTCGTGAGCAGCTTTCTCTGTCTGGGCCTCTCCCCGCCTCTCCCCTGCCCCTGCGGGGGTCTCCCTGCTGGTCCTGGATGGGGTGGGGGCTCCTCACAGCCCGCTGACCCCTCCCCCCCCCCCCCTTCAGCAGTACCCAGATGGCATTTTCTACGACTTGGACAGCTGTAAGCACCCCGGCTACCCCGAATCAGAGGGGGCTCCTGGTGAGTGGCCCCGGCCCAGACCCCTCGCACACGCCCTGTGGGCCCATTTCACAGACGGGGAGCTGAGGCCCAGCGGGGGGCGGGTCGTGGGGGGGGGCGGTCCCATTGCTCAGCAGGGCGAGGCCAGCCAGGGCCCCCGCCTCCTCCCTTTCCTCCCTGGCCAGCCGCCCATGCAAACCCGGGGGTCAGCCATTTGCATGGCCCACAATGGCCCTCTGTGCTGGTGCCGCCCGTGGGACGGGGGCCGAGGCCCCCCCCCACCCCTCCCCCGGCTTCTGACTCCAGCCCTCCTCCCCCCCAGACTCCCTGTGGGGCTGGACGGAGGTCCCGGCGGCGCCCCCCGCCTCCTACGAAGCCTTCGACCCCGCCACGGCCGTCTTCAGCCACCCCCAGGACGCCCCGCTCTGCTACGGGCCCTCCCCCGCCTACAGCCCCGCGGGCGGCCTCGCCCCGGCCGCCAGCCTGGAGGCCCCGGGGCCCGGCTTCCCGGCCTACCCCACGGAGGACTTCGCCTGCCAGGTGAGGGGCGGGGGTCGCTGACACCCCCATCAGGCGACTGAGGTGTGCTGGCTCCTCCAGGCGCCGCACTATGCCCCCCTCCCCCCTCCCTCCCCTCTCCCACAGCCCTCTGAGGCTCAGAGCTGTCACTGCTGCAAAACCAGTGACGGGGACACAGGCAGGAGCCAGGGGGCAGCGCGGTGGCTGTGGGAGGCCTGGGGCGGCTTCCATGGAGGTGGCCTGGCGTCCCCCGGCCACGCCATGGCAGTCCCAGCTGAGGTCAGGCTGGAAACGGACGGGGGAGGTCCCAGGAGGAGGAAGCCGAGGGAGGGAGGGAGGGAGGGAGGGAGAGCAGGGGACCCCCCCCCCCCGCCCCGACGGCAGGTGACCCTGACCTCCCGCAGGCCCTGGGCACCCCGGCGTACGCCCCGTACCCCAGCCCCGTGCTGTCGGAAGAGGAGGACCTGTTGCTGGACAACCCCGCCCTGGAGGTCTCGGACAGCGAGTCGGACGAGGCCCTCGTGGCTGGCCCCGAGGGGAGGGCATCCGAGGCAGGTAAGTGGGAGCCGGCCGGTGGGACCCCCACAGGAGGCGGGAGGAGGGGGCTGGAGGACCCCAGCCCTGAGGGCACCCAGGCTGTGTGAGCGGGGCGGGGCCTCTGCCTGCCTCTGCACCTTACCCTCCTGTCTGTACGGGGTGACGGCCGTGGTGGCTGTCACTGGTGTTTGGGGAGGACAGTGGGAGGACAGTGTGAGGTAATGGCGAGTGCTGAGTAAGTCTTCACCTCCGTCATCAGCACAGCAGAAATCTTCCCAGTCTCCGCCCCAGCCAGCAGCCCCGCGTCAGGCCACATGCCCTATGCACAGCCTCTGGGAGGCTGGGGCTGGACCTAAGCCACTTTCTGTCTGGGCCTCAGTCTCCCATCTATAAAATGGGTTGTCACCGTCACCCCACCCCATGGGGCTGTGGTGAAGACGAAATGAGCTCAGAATTGTGGAGCACCCGGCACGGAGTTTGTAAAAGTAAAACACACACACACACACACACACACACACACGCGCGCGCGCGCGCGCACATGCGCACACGCACACACACGCATGCACACGTGCACACGCACACACTCGCGCGCGTGCACACACACACACACACACACACACACACGTAAGCCTCGTTTACAGCTGAGGAGCGGCCGCTCAGAGAGGTTAAGTCAGCACCCCAGGGTCACACAGCTGGGAAATGGCAGCGGTGGGGTTCCTGTACTCGGTGCCCTGCTGTGACCCCCGGGCCCTGCTCTGAAGTGAGGTGGGGGGGAGCTAGCTGCTTGTAGGAGCCCAGCATTCAGGCCCCCGGGGCCTCTCCCAGGATCCCAGTCCCTCTGGGCTGTGAGGCTGGGGGACCCGGAGCTGGAGACTAGCCAGGCTGACTTTCCACCACCATCAGCTCTGTGTGGTGAGTCTTTAAAAAAAAAAAAAAAGTATTTTTATTTATTTCAGAGAGGAAGGGAGAGAGAAACATCAATGATGAGAGAGAATCATTGATCAGCTGCCTCCTACACACCCCCCACTGGGATCCAGCCCGCACCCCGGGCATGTGCCCTGAGCGGAGTCAAACCTGCGACCCGATGCTCTATCCACTGACCCACACCGGCTGGGGCTGCCCAGTGAGCCTTTGAGGAGCCCTGTCAGCCCATTTCACAGCTTCCCTCCTCCATGTGCTCCACAATGCAGATTCCTAGGCGCTGGGCCTGTGAAAGAAAGCAGGAAGGGCCATGGGGTTCTGGGGGGGACAGCTTCTGGGATGGGGAGGGGGGGGGTGCAGACAGAGCCAGGCAGGGGTACCTCTCAGCCACCTGCCTCACCCCAGGTCTCTCCCTGGGGGACTGAGGCTGGGGGACTGAGGTGGGGGACCTCCCTGACGTCCCGCCCCCCCCCCCCCAGGGGCCCGCAAGAAGCTGCGCCTGTACCAGTTCCTGCTGGGGCTGCTGACGCGCGGCGACATGCGCGAGTGCGTGTGGTGGGTGGAGCCGGGCGCTGGCGTCTTCCAGTTCTCGTCCAAGCACAAGGAGCTGCTGGCGCGCCGCTGGGGCCAGCAGAAGGGCAACCGCAAGCGCATGACCTACCAGAAGCTGGCCCGCGCGCTGCGCAACTACGCCAAGACCGGCGAGATCCGCAAGGTCAAGCGCAAGCTCACCTACCAGTTTGACATGGCGCTGCTGCCGGCCGCCCGCCGGGCCTGAGCCCGGGCTCCAGGCCGCTGTCTCACCTCGGTGTCCCCTCGCCCTAGGTCCTAGGACCCGTGGATCCCCCACGCTGTGGGGGTGGGGGGCTGCCCTCACCCCTCAGCCCTGCCCGGGGCCCCAGGATCTTTGCGGCCTGGGCCACACGCAGGACTGGAGAGTCTGTGTGGAGTGGGGCGGGCTTCCCGGGGATCCCCCAGCCAGGCTGGGGGGCCTCTGTGTGTCTGTGATCCCACAATCCCATCTGGGGGCGGGTGAGCCCACAGATCTTTCCACCAGGAGGGGGCGCTGCCAGCAGGCCAAGGCCCCTGCTCCTGTGAGTCCCTCCTGTCAGATCTGAGGTCTAGTGAGGACGGAGGCCCCTGGGAAGCTCGGATCTCTGTGCCCAGCTGCCACTCGCGTCCTGTCTGTCCCCCCAAACCCCTCGGTCATCTCTGGGGTCCCCGAGTTCTCTGAATCCGCCCTGACACCGCTTTTTTGTGTCTGGAATTCTCCAGCCAGAGCCAGGGAGGCTCACTCTCCCCGCAAACTCTTGTCAGATTTTTTTTGTTTTTTTCGGGGTGGGGGGCACCTCATTGAACCTCGCCATGTCCGGGCCGCCTCTGGTGTCCCCTTGTCTGCCTGGGATTCTCCAGCCACATCTGTGCCCCGCCCTGAGGTCCCCCCATGGGGACCCCACTAGCAGCTGCGTTGTCATGGGAACCCACCCTCTCTTGGGGTGCCCTCTGCGGTCCCAATCTGCGGGTCATTCTGGCCGCTGAGCTGATTTCTGGGTGATCTTGGCAGTCCCCCCCCCCCCCGCCCCCATCATTTCTAACCAGAGGTCGCAGACTGATGACCCCTTCCCCACTCCTTACCCCTCCCCCACCCATGGGGCCAGTCAGGTCCCCCTCCCCGGGCCCTCTCCCGCTGTGGGGTTTTCTTTAGTTTACGGTCACAGTTTTGTTCCTTTGTTTTTGCTTTTGTGTTTGGAGGGGGCATCCAATGTAACTGACATTCCAAAGGAGGGAGATTTCGCAAAATCCCCCAGTTAGAACTTTGCACAATCCAGGGATCGGCTTTGCGGGGTGGAGGCTGGAAGAAGGGGGTACCCCCCCCCACGGGCCCCTGTTCTCCACCTGTCCCGGACCCCACCCCCTTGGCTGTCACGCCCTGGTGGCTTCTCTCGGTGGCCTTGACCCCCAGCCATCTGCAGTTTGACCCCTGGCGTGACCCCAGCTGGGGGGAGCCTGGATCGGCGTGGGCGCTCTGCCTGGAAGCCGAGGCCAGGGGCTGTGGCTGAGCCCGGGGCCCCGTGGCTGGGGGACCTCGAGTCAGAGACGTGCTGCTTGTGGGCCTCCGTTGTCCCTGCTGTGAAAGGGGAGAGGAAGAGGAGGAAGATGGTGAAAGCCACCTTGCAGCCCCGCGGACAGGCCTTCGATGCACCTCCTGAATCCACCGCCCCCCCCCCCCCCCACCGGCCGGAGGAGGCCGAGGAGGGCGCAGCGGGACCCGGAGAGAAGAGGGCCCTGCAGGGGCGCCCGGTGCCCACAGCAGCAAGAGCAGAACGGCCCCCTGCCTTGGGGAGGGGCCAGCCTGGGGGGGGGCCAAGATGTCCTCCTCCTGGGGCCTCCGTTGCAAATGAGGTACCTTCTGCAGAAACCACCATCACCCCAAGTGTGGAATAAACTAAAATAAACAAACCCGGTAGACACCTGTGCCGCTCCCTGGGACCCTGTGTCAGGGACCGCAAGGCTGGCACGCTGGGCCTGCTGGGCCTCGGGGACACCACGACAGGGAGGGGGTAAGGGAGGAGGTGGAGCCAAAACCGGTGTGGCTCAGTGGATAGAGCGTCGGCCTGTGGACTGAAGGGTCTCAGGTTCGATTCCGGTCAAGGGCATGTGCCTTGGTGGCGGGCACATCCCCAGTAGGGCGTGTGCAGGAGGCAGCTGATGGATGATTCTCTCTCATCTCTCTCATCGATGCTTCTAACTCTATCCCTCTCTTCCTCTCTGTAAAAAGTCAATAAAATATATACTTAAAAAAAAGAGAGAGAGAGGAGATACAAGAGGAGTTTAGAGCCAGACGAGGCTGAGCCTTGAAGGCCACGGTAAGGGGCGTGAGCCACAGGCACTGGTGGTTCCGTCCAACATTTGTCTCCTCTCTTCCCGACCAAGGGGACTCTGCCCGCCCTCTCTCCGCTGCCCTTTCTGTCCTCGCTCCCGCCCCTTTCTTTGCCCGCGCGCGCTCTCTGGTCTCTGGCTCCGCCCCTCCCTGGTCTCTGTCCTTCCTCGGGTGTCTGTCCTCCCTCGGGCTGGCGGGGCAGGGCGCCAGGACCCAGGTGGCAGCGCCGCCCTCCTGGCCCCCGCGGCTCTGCCCGCCTCGCCCGCTGGGGAGCTGTGTGGTAGTCTGCCTGGTAACCCGTGACGTCACACGAATGCTGCCTCCGGATTGGCCTGGCCCTCCTTGGAGGCGGGAAGTTTCCGGCTCGTAGGGGGTTTTGGAGAGGGGGAGGGGGAGGGGCGCCGGAAGGACACAGGGAGGGACTTGTGGTCCTCACTGCCCCCCAACCCCATCCTCCTCCTTCACCCCAAGCCCTCCATCCCTCCCCTCCCTCCCCGGCCACCTGGTCCTCTCAGCACCTGGGTCCCCAAAACCCCATCCTCCCTCCCCCTCCCCCACCGAGCGCGCCCCCTCCCGCAGCCGCAGGTCTCCCTGCCGGGAAGGGCGCCAGCGCCCGGGCACCCCTCCAGGGCCTTCCCGGCTCCCGCCCCCGCTGCCGGCACCCGCGTCCGTGCCCGCCGCGCCCGCTCCGGGAACCGGCGTGGAGCCCGGCCGGGCGCGGTCCCAGGAGGGCGCGGGCCAGTCCGGGTCCCAGGGGCCCGGGCCCAGGCCCGGGTGTGCCCACGCCTGGCGGCGGCTCCGGGGCCCAGCGCCCTCCTGGCCGGCTCGGAACCGCCCTCCCCCAGCCCCGGCTCTGGTTTCCCGAAAAGCCCTTACTTGCAGATGCTAAGAATGGCTCTCTAGACCCTGTCCTCTCCCCCCAGCCCCCACCCGCCCCCTTGCCATTCACCCACTTTCCCCCCAGCCCCAGACTCAGGCCCTTATCCTCCTCCTTTCCCCCAGCACCCAAGGTCTGGAGCCCAGGTCCCTTCTGTCCCCAGCCCCAGGCGTCCATGCCCCAGCCCCTCCTCCCTCAGACCCAGGAGTCCTGGACCCCAAGCCCCTCCTCCCTCAGACCCAGGGGTCCAGGCCCCCAGCCCCTCCTCCCTCACACCCAGGAGTCCTGGAACCCAAGCCCCTCCTCCCTCAGACCCAGGGGTCCAGGCCCCCAGCCCCTCCTCCCTCAGACCCAGGGGTCCATGACCCTCCTCCCTCAGACCCAGGGGCCCGGGCCCCCAGCCCCTCCCCCCTCAGACCCAGGGTCCAGGCCCCCAGCCCCTCCTCCCTCAGACCCAGGGGTCCATGCCCCTCCTCCCTCAGACCCAGCAGTCCTGGAACCCAAGCCCCTCCTCCCTCAGACCCAGGGGTCCAGGCCCCAAGCCCCTCCTCCCTCAGACCCAGGCGTCCATGCCCCAGCCCGTCCTCCCTCAGACCCAGGAGTCCTGGACCCCCAGCCCCTCCTCCCTCAGACCCAGGGGTCCATGCCCCAGCCCCTCCTCCCTCAGACCCAGGGGTCCAGCCCCCATCCCCTCCTCCCTCAGACCCAGGCCCCCAGCCCCTCCTCCCTCAGACCCAGGAGTCCAGGCCCCCAGCCCCTCCTCCCTCAGACCCAGGAGTCCATGTCCCCAGCCCCTCCTCCCTCAGACCCAGGCGTCCCAAGCCTCCGGGACCTGGCGTCCAGCCCCTCCTGGTTGGGCTGTCCCTGTTGGCTCCCCGGGCGGACGATGGGCGGGTGGCGAGGCCGGGGAAGCCTCCCGGAGACTCTTGGGAGTTAGCTCACCCTTATAGGGCCGCCCCCGAGGCCCACCTGCCTCCCAGGGCCCGAGGGACCGCTGTGGCCGGAGGAGCCGAGGAGGTGGCAGCCATGCCCGAGGCTAAACCAGGTGGCGGTGGGCACTTCCTCTCCGCGGACGCTCCGCACGGGCCCGCTCCTCCGTCTGTGATGCTGGGAGGACGGGGCGTCCCCTCTGTGGGGAGAGGGCTCTCCTCCCTGGGTGTTGGGTGGAGGGTCCCGTCCCCTGTGCGGGGCCTGGGAGGCCCCTGTGGGTGCGGAAGGACTGCCTCTGCCTGGGACTGGAGTCCTTTTTTTGGGGGGTGGGGGGCTGTGAGTCTGTGCGTGTGAACCCCGTCTGCGTGGCGACCGCCGTCACCTGCCTTTGGGGACGGGTCCTCTGGGTGAGGGTCCTCTGGGTGAGGGGCCTCTGGGTGAGGGGCCTCTGGGTGAGGGGCCTCTGGGTGGGGATTGGGCCTCTGGGTGAGGGGCCTCTGGGTGGGGATCGGGCCTCTGGGTGAGGATCGGGCCTCTGCGTGAGGCCTGGGCCTCTCTCTGGGGGGCGCGCCGTCCTCCGGGCTCAGAGTCAGGGGCTCCTGTCTGTCTGCGGGGCCAGGAGGGTTCTGAGGGTGAGGGCCTCCTTTCTGGCAGAATCGGGGGCCTTCGAGTAAGGACTCCGCGCCGTCATTTGCAGATGGGGGTGGGGGCACTTCCTCTCCTGGGGAAATGAGCCTCCGGTGTCCAGGCCACGGGCACCAGGTCGGCCGGGCGTGGGGAGGGGGTCGGGGCCCTCAGTGCCGCTGGGACCCCGGAGCCGGGACCGGCAGGCCGCCGGCCGGGGAGGTGCTGTGGTCAGCACAGTGTCCGGTTTCCAGCCCAGCGGGAGAGCTAATTTTACCCTCAGGGCCCAAAAGGTCAGGGCCTGGGGCCTGGACCACGGGGCATGGCCGGCCAGGGCAAGGGGAAACCTGATCCCACACGCTCAGGAGGAGAGAGAGTTAATGTGTCTGGAAGGGGGCTGGGCTGGGCTCCTGGGTCTGAGGGAGGAGGGCTGGGGGCCTGGACCCCTGGGTCTGAGGGAGGAGGGGCTGGGGGCCTGGACCCCTGGGTCTGAGGGAGGAGGGCTGGGGGCCTGGACCCCTGGGTCTGAGGGAGGAGGGGCTGGGGGCCTGGACCCCTGGGTCTGAGGGAGGAGGGGCTGGGGGCCTGGACCCCTGGGTCTGAGGGAGGAGGGCTGGGGGCCTGGACCCCTGGGTCTGAGGGAGGAGGGGCTGGGCTCCTGGGTCTGAGGGAGGAGGGGCTGGGGGCCTGGACTCCTGGGTCTGAGGGAGGAGGGCTGGGGGCCTGGACCCCTGGGTCTGAGGGAGGAGGGGCTGAGCTTGTGCTCAGTATGAACACCTACCTCACAGCCAAAGATGAGGCCAAACCTGCTCCTGAGGAATCCGCTCCAAAGGAGGCCCCCCCAGCGGAGGCCCCCCCAGCGGAGGCCCCCCCAGAGTCTCCCAAAGGTGAGAGGGTGTCCCGCGGGCTCAGCAGAGCCCGGACTCCTCCCCCAGCTCTCCTGGCCCCTCTGCACTCTCTCCGTCCTCCCCACGGTGCTCCCAGAGCTGACCGCCCCTCCCCAGCCTTCCATGGCTCCCCAGTGCCCAGGGACAGAGCCCAGGCCCCCGCCTGGCCCTCAAGCACCCGCCCCCCAACACCCGGCTGATTCCTCACGGAGCCCTGCCCGCTCGCACTCCCGTCCATCTTGGCGCCTCTCCCGTTGCAAAGTCCCACTCGGGCCCATGCGGTCCACCCTCCCGTCCGCAGATGGGGAAACTGAGGCTGGAGGGGTGAGGCCGGCCTGGCCGAGGTCACACAGCTGCCTGGGGCCACGTCACACCAGGGCCTTTGGCTTCTGTGGGGAGGGTCCCTCCCGGCTCTAAGCCCCGTCCGCCCCCAAAGGGGCTGCTGCCCGCCCTGCGGCCTCAGCCCCCGCCCTGTCTCCCCCCAGAGGCCCCGTCTGCGGAGCAGTCCCCCACGGCCCCAGAGCCTCCCGGGGTTTTCCTGAAGAAGCCGGAGTCTGTGTCTGTGGAGAATGGTGAGGGGGCCTGGGGGCGGAGGGGCTGGGGGCCTGGACCCCTGGGTCTGAGGGAGGAGGGCTGGGGCCTGGGTCTGAGGGAGGAGGGGCTGGGGGCCTGGACCCCTGGATCTGAGGGAGGAGGGGCTGGGGGCCTGGACCCCTGGATCTGAGGGAGGAGGGGCTGGGGCCTGGGTCTGAGGGAGGAGGGGCTGGGGGCCTGGACTCCTGGGACTGAGGGAGGAGGGGCTGGGGGCCTGGACTCCTGGGACTGAGGGAGGAGGGGCTGGGGGCCTGGGTCTGAGGGAGGAGGGGCTGGGGGCCTGGACCCTGGGTCTGAGGGAGGAGGGGCTGGGGGCCTGGGTCTGAGGGAGGAGGGGCTGGGGGCCTGGACTCCTGGGACTGAGGGAGGAGGGGCTGGACCCCTGGGTCTGAGGGAGGAGGGGCTGGGGGCCTGGACCCCTGGGTCTGAGGGAGGAGGGGCTGGGGGCCTGGACTCCTGGGTCTGAGGGAGGAGGGCTGGGGGCCTGGACCCTGGGTCTGAGGGAGGAGGGGCTGGGGGCCTGGACTCCTGGGTCTGAGGGAGGAGGGGCTGGACCCCTGGGTCTGAGGGAGGAGGGGCTGGGGGCCTGGACCCCTGGGTCTGAGGGAGGAGGGGCTGGGGGCCTGGACTCCTGGGACTGAGGGAGGAGGGGCTGGGGGGCT